CCTCCATTATATAACACGCGAAAGAATAAATAGAAAAAACTATGGGTTACTTAGGTAAATTTATCTGAAGATGTGAAATATTTTAACCAAAGATATACGTACTTAGGACATGAGTAAAGGAGTGAATTTCGCAACATAATCAAACTGAAGTCATTGTGTGTTTCGATCACACAAATTTTCCGATTATGTCCTTTGACCTTACAAATCGTAAATCACAACTATTGTGCGATAAAAAAAACGATAAACCGGAAACCAGCAGTCACAGTTTACGGGGAATTGCTCGGGGGGAAAAAGCTTGAAAAGAAATAATATACCAAGTTCCGATAATTTTCTTTTACCTCTGTCACCTTAGTTTATTCTCAAAACTATCAACCCACCATTTAAATGATGTGATTGCGACTGACGTTCCGCGGTAAAAATAACCCGGAAAACTAGCTGAAGAAATCCAGGTATAATATCGGATATTGGGAATTGTGTAGATTACGATAAATGTTAACTAGCAATTGGGGGGTCTCTCGGACCCCAGCACGGCAGTGCAACTCTTGTCCACTTAAAATTTATCGTTCTCATTGTTAATTTAAAAAGAAACGATGAGTTCAACGTGCTTAAGTATTCAAGTATCAGTTCCAGTTTACACAACCACTAACCACGCACCTGTGTGCCGGTTTCGGTTGCTGCCTCTTGGTTGCCCAGTTGGATGAAGAAGCAGAGGGAAGATTGGAATGTTCAAATCAGTACCAGGGTAAAAATAGAGAATTTATGAAGACTAAGGTTACAAGGAAATTTAGGAGATAAACGGGAGACAATGTTTACGATACTCGGTCATAACACTCGACACCAACCATACTGATTCCGAAGTTCCCACCTAAAGAGTCCGACGCGACCTATATGAGCAAGTTTCCTGGTCAGGGTTTCCAAACACTTAGTCGTTTGACCACCCTTGACTTTTGATCCTCGGAGACCTGCCTCGGAAGTCACTGCGCACGGTAGCAACCTGTTTGGTGGCATGCATAACACACCCCAACAAACGTAATCTACGGAGGTCAACCACTGGATTCAGTGGGTGACCGCAGTTAAGTAAAACTCTGCTTTTAACTCCAGTATTGCTTTTCCTGCTTCCCCATCAGACTGAGGTAATGCTGCTTGGACAGTCGTGTTCAAACAGTTTCAGTTTCAGTTTGAACAACCATTAACCATGCACCTTCGTGCGCCGGTTTTGGTTGCTATCTTTCGGTTGCCCATTTGGATGAACATTAGAAAGACAGGAAAGGTTGAAAGCAGGATTGAAGAGAAAATTGAAAAGTTCAGTGGACTAAGGTTGCAAAGAAATTGAGAAGATGTGATTCGAACAGAAAATGGAGAAGTTCAGTGGACTAAGGTTGGAAAGAAATTGAGAAGATGCAAATGGAGAAGTTCAGTGGACTAAGGGTGGGAAGAAATTGAGAAGATGCACGAACGCCACTGTCGGAGAAGTTCAGTGGACTAAGGTTGCAAAGAAAGTGAGGAGATGCACGAACGCCACTGTTTAAGACACCCAGCCATATCGCTCAGTGTCTCTAACCATCGGTTACGATCATCCCGAGGTCCCCTGCCAGGGAGCCTAACAGGACCTATGTGACCCAGTTTCCTGGTCAAGGTTTTCATACCCTCGTGCCCGGTCTTAACTTGACCACCCTTGGCTTTTCTCCACACCGATAATCTATTTTTATCCTGGTTTCATAATTATCAAGTTCCTTAGTCGTATAGTAGATCTAGTGAAGTTGCTGCAGCATACTCTCGACTCTTCATAATTAGCCGGATGTCGCGAGGGTACCATATGTCTTAAGTTGGCCAATGCCAACCGAGCCTTCCATGATGCGGCCGCAAGATGAAATACAGCTGTCAAATAGTAAAATTTGTTCGCTTCCTTAATTAAAGATGTTGGGAGCTGGATCAACCCATTCCTGTGGGGACATTTCACACTTCGAAAGTACAAAACATAAATCGAACATGGGTACACTAGCACTCAAACTATCCAGAAGAGCTTGCAACTTATTTGGGTCTTCAATTAGCAGTAGGATATCTTTAGCGTATTCTAGATCAAACAGTGCCACCTGGGAGAAAATCGATGCACCTATTCCAGCACAAGGATAGGGCTATTATAGAAAAGGAGAGAGAAAGAGAGGGCAATCATGACCGACACTGCTGTCTGTGGTGAACTCAGGCAAAAAGTATCAGCGATTTATGACGGGACCAAATACAAAGGTCAGAGTTCCCCGTGCATTCAGTATACTTCTCAAACGCTACGAACATGTCGTGAAACTAGCCGCCTGAAATAACTGTATTCGTAAGTTAACGCTTGTCGAATTTCTTTCCTTAGTTGTATAGCGACGGCTTCAGTGCACGGAAGACGTCATGAAACCGAACGATTTTATGCACCTATATCTAGATTTCACACTTACTTGCCAACCAAATCGTTTTTCATACAACTTAATATATGCAGTAAAAGAAGTAAACATTACGGTCAAAAGGACACCACTGACTCACAGCAATGTATAACCTAAGCCTCAAGACTTTGAGTGGTGAACGATACCAGGCCCAAACAGAATAGATGAACTACAGGGATGCAATCTAGCACCAAAATTCTGAAGATTCTACAATGCTAAAAACAGACAAATTGAGGAGCGTTACTTTTAATATCTTCTTATCATATTCAATATAAAACCATTATCCTAACCGACGACACGTCTGTGACATGTAATTTGCTGTCACGAGCTTGTCGTACAGCAGCAGCATTCCCATCTTTATTCCAAAAGTACTATTTTGGCTTTTGCTCAGTCAAAGTTACGTCTTTTGTCTATCTGCCACTTGCTCTCGTACACCAGCGGCTAATCACTCATTAAAAGTAACTATCCTCATGTGTTGCAACTCCAACTTACAATCATCTTTTATTCCCGAGAAGGGCTCAATCGATCTTTTCGTTTCCCTCGGAACTTATAAAACAGCCCTACCATGCAACGTAGAATCCAAAGGGTGTGTCCAACTCGAATGCCCCTTTCACCAACCTATGCACAATCTCTTCGGATCAGGGAGTTTATCCTGCATTGTTTCAAAAAAAGAAACGTGAGAGCTTCATAGGACTTTGTAGACAAAAACAGAGGCAAACTTAATCGGAACACCAACAGTCACTCCAAGATAAAATTATAGAACATACCCATCGGTTTCGGGGCGATACTCCAAAATTTCCCCAATAGGATACTCCTGATTCGGAAAAAGCTTGCATATGGGAATAGTAGGTGGATCCGTTTGTGTGAGTTCTTTGTCCGACTTTGCATCACCCTCGCTTTTCGCAGCTGCCTTCTTTTTCTTCTTTTTGTGTTGGGTTTTTGAAGTGTTATTACTCGTGTGATCACCTTCGGTGGCTCCGGCATCGATGGTATTTTCGACCTCTGGAGATTTTTCGGTGCTTTCCGAGGCCTGTTCACCTCCGTGTGCTAATATTGGAAACAGAGACAACAAATAAACATACCACTGGAAGGTTTCTTCTTCTTTTTCTTCTTAGCGGCTGATGCGGTGGGTACTCGTGTTTCATCTTCAATATTCAACTTTTCATCAACACCTTTCGCCAGCTTATTATCTTCGTGTTCTAATTTTTCATCTTTCGGAGAAACCGCATTCATATTGAGTCAGAGAAACCCGCTGAGGGCTATTTAGTGTGCGACTGGGATCAAACGTTTCAACTGTTATCACCGTTAGAAATGAAATTTGATGTTCAAAAGCGCGATTCAAAAACCGGTGCAGTAGTGAGCACACAAGACCTAGGGAAAATGTTCGAATGTTGATTCAAATGATTCTTCTTGAAGTGTTAGTTAGTACAAGTGTTACTAATCAAAAAATACAATGGCCGATTTCGAAAATATTGGCCCTACATTTGAACCGGTATTTAGAGGAAATAAATCGCACAACGAAATACGGTGAGTTGAAATTCGCTGGTAGCTGCCACACTCGTAATACACACATTTATTGAGAATATGTAAGAGGAACAGGGGTTGGACCTACCTTAAGGGGGGGGGAGGAATTAAACCTTGATGGTGAACACGGTGTATACAATTTAACTGCGCGTACACGTTTTCCAGGCATTCCGGTCTGACAAGAAGCGACGATAATAACGCCACTGTTGTCTGTTCACTGTCCTGTCTTTTGTTGTCTCCAACCGTCCGGCTACGGAGTCTTCTGGATTACATTCCGGAATACAAGAGACATTTAATTTACATAATCGTTCTGTGCACTTTTTCATGTCTCGATTCCAGGTCCTCTGTTGATCTCCACGGTGCATAGGGTGCGGTAGGACAGCTGGACGGGCTCAATACGTGTCCCAACCTACTGATTTGACTTCGACGTTCTAGCAAGCTTATCCCCGATAGATACCCAAACACATGACGGCTTACCTCTGGACTAATAAACGGATCATTCCATCCTACCTGCGTTGAACCATGTAAGCATCGATTGCCGAAAACCTGTAGTCAATGAATGTCATCTACACACAAATTCACGGTTACACGTCACTAAGTACCGCGTTTTCAGTGTTTTTTTTTCATGGATTGCTTCACAATGTTAAATCAGATCGACCACATAGCAGTAAGTTACCGTTGTCGTAGCTCAGTGCAAAATTTCAGGTCCATTTAGACCAGCTGCGTTGAGTCTGACCATGCATTAGTTTTGATGCAGTTCACTCTTCGACTGACTGACCGGCGACCAATTTAGAAAACTCGAAAAGCTCATCATCGACTATCTGTTCTAGCAGTTCGTGTACGCTATGAATCAGAGCTAGCGCTTGAGCCAAGCGCCCCCCAATATAATGTAGATGAACAGCGAGATCAGATTAGACGAACAATGCATTCCACAACGAACGTTGCTTGTGGGTCTAAGCCTCAAACTCGTCGGGGGCATTGGATATCTTAGGAGTCAGCAGTTTTTATGGAAAAAAACGACAAATCCCGACCTGCCAGGATCAAAATAGAGTTAGGTGGCATCCACAACGCCAGCTCACGAAGAGCCTCAAGAAGGACCGGAGAAGTGGTGGGCAACAATAGCTAGTAAAATGGAAGTAGCAGCTGCATCAGGGAATAGTCAAACTGTTCCGACTGATACACAATGCGGGAGGTCGGCGAACTCCAGTTAGTGAAAGTCTGCGATAGGAGGGGACAAGCTATTCACAATAGGGATCAACGACTAGATCGCTGGGCAGAATACTTTAGCAAACAGGTCACCTGGCCTAGTGCTAACCAGGCTGCTTCATCTGCAACTCAAGCTCCGTGGGCAGTCATGCGATCCGCCAGCAAAAACAGAAGTTCGGTCTTGCATTCAAGCTCTGAAGCGAGGAAAGGCAGCAAGACCGGATGAGCACCCTCCCACTCTTTTCAAGATGGGGTTGATAACTCTGTAAGCTATATTAATACCCTACTGCGCAACATTTGGACGCAAGAACACATTCCTTCATCTTGGGGCGAGTCATTGATTGTTCCCATTTTCAAGAAAGGATCCCGCAACGGATGTGATAACCACCGCGGGATAAGTTGGATCCCGATCGTCACCAAAGTGATAGCCTCGGTTATACTTCGACGTCTGACGCCATTAAGAGAGACCAACATCCGTGAACAGCAAGCCGGATTCCGGCCTGAACGTGGATGGATTGATCAAATTTTTACGTTGCGTTAGGTCCTTGAGTTGCGTCACACCCAGTCAGCCAACGATCGCAGTGTTCCTTGACCTGAAAGGAGCCTTCGACTCAGTTAACCGCGAAGCTCTGATGGGCTCGAAAAGGAATGNAAAGGAATGCCCCAGAAATACTTTACCCTATGAGGTCACTGTACTCACACATCTCCGGTCGTGTAAGGGTTAACAACCAACTAAGTAGGCCGTTCGTCACCAGCAGTGGCGTCCACCAAGGATGCCCTCTTTCGCCGTTCCAGTTCAATTTCGTCGTAGAAGAAATACTGGGGAACGCGCTAAGTGGACTCCAAAGCGTAGGTATTGAATGGGCAGCTGGAGAAAAGCTGTGCGATTTAGAGTACATTGATGATATCGTGTCTGCTCGAATGTATGGGGCACGCGCAAAGCGCGTAGCCACATTCGGTATGTGCTTTGCACCTTCAAAGTGCACAGTGATGCTGCAGGACTGGGTTTCGTCTACTCCCGCTCTGAAACTAAATGGCCAGGATTCAGTTGTAGTGGATTGCTTTTCCTACTTAGGTAGTTGCGTGGCCAACGACGGCAGTGCAGCAAATTTCAGTTTCAGTTTGCACAACCATTAACCATGCACTATAGTGCGCGGGTTTTGGTTGCTATCTTTCGGCTGCCCATTTGGATGAACATTAGAAAGACAGGAAAGGTTGAAAGCAGGATTGAAGAGAAAATTGAAAAGTTCAGTGGATTAATGATACAGGGAAATCGAGAAAATGCATGAACGCCACTGTTTACGACACCCAAACATATCATTCAGTGTCTCTAACCATCGGATACGACCATCCCGAGGTCCCCAGCCAGGGAGCCTTACGGGACCTGTATGACCTAAACTCCTGGTTAGAGTTTTCATACCCTCATGCCAGGTCTTAGCTCGACCACCTTGGACTTTCTTCAACCCATTACCTGCCTCGGCGAACATCGCTCGTCGTGGCAGCTTATTTGGAGACATGCGTAACACATGCCCCAGCCAATGTAATCTATGGAGGTCAACCACTTGCTCCAGTGGGCGACCGCAGTTACCCAGAACTCTGCGCCTAACCTCAGCATTGCTCGTCCCCACCAGATTCGTGTGATGTTACGTGGATAGCGATGTCCAAACACCGACAGTCTATCCTGGTTTCCTAATGGTCAATTTTCTGCTCCATATAGAAGAACTGACAGAACTGCTGTAGCATATACTCGATCCTTCACAGAAAGCCGGATGTCGCGACGGCGCCACAGATGTCTCAAGTTGGCAAATGCCAATCGAGTCTTTCGTATGCGAGCTGACACTTCATCCGTGACGCGCCCACCGGGTGAGATACAGCTGAACAAATAACAAAACTTATTCACCTGCTCTATTACTTCTGCAGTGAGACTGGGTGCTGGATCAACCCAGTCTTGTAGTAGCATTTTACAATTTGAAGGTGCAAAACGCATACCGAACATGGCTACAATAGCACTCAAACTATCCAGAAAAGCTTGCAACTTACTTGGATCTTCACTTAGTAGCACAATGTCGTCTGCATACTCTAGATCAGACAGCCTGCCACCTGGAAGTAAATCGATACCGCTATCCTAGCACGAGGATAGGGTTGTTTGCATAATCAGATCTATAACAAAGTTAAATAGGAATGGAGAGAGAGGGCAATTTTGTCGAACACCACTTTCCGTGGTGAACTCAGGTGAAAACGTGCCGTAAGCTGGGACTCGGCTTCGGCTATGAGTGTAGAGGGATCTTAATATTGAAATAAACTTCTCGAGCACGCCTTTCAGGGAAAGGCAGTGCCAGAGTTTGGAGCGGTCGACCGAGTCGAAGGTCGCTTTAAGATCCAGGAAAATAGAGATGGTGGGTCTGCCCAAATTGCTAAATATGCGTGTTTCAACCATAAACACAAAGGAGTTCCTGTTAAAGATTAAGGATGTTGGTGCGAAAAACCATATTGCCAAGTTTGGAGTGCCAGTTGCTAGTCAAACGCACAAATACTGCAAACGAGGAAAACGCATATGTGCCGGTTGGCAAACGACCTTGGTCGTTATATCCCCAGCAAGATAGCCGTGCCTACCACTGTGAGTAACAATGTCCGTTTTGTGTTTGGGAAGCTTCCGGACTTATCCTACCTGCTCCAGCGAAAGGAATTTCGCACCTCTTGAGTCTTGTGTCTTCAGGAATCATGGCTCAATGAAGTGGACGATTCTGTGGTGCAACTGGATAGTTTCATCTGCCTTGGACAAGATAGACAACGGTGTACGAAGTTGGGAGGCGATGTGATCACTTACATCAATTCCAATTGGTGCGGCAAGTCCGAAGTACTTTCTAATTATTCCCAGAATGGCGTTGACTGCTTGACTGTCGTCTGTCACCCCAAATTATCCCGCTTTCCTTTTATTGCCATCACTAACTTATACATTGCACCCCAGTGTAGATTGTCAGAAATTGACACATTTTATGACAATTTCCTCGCGATTATTGCCCCATCCCTTGTTGACAGCTTGCATCTAATAGCTGGTGACTTTAACCACACACCCCTGCACCCTTTATTGTGTCTAAACCTCAGTGGCCTGATTACTGAACCGACTAGAGGAAACTCTCATCTAGACCACATAATCACAAACGACGCTGACACCTTTTCCACCAAACAGTTCTCCCCCTTAGGCAGCAGTTACCACAACCTGATCCTGGTCAGACCTAAGATTTACTCACACTCAGGACATTTTTCCTTTACTCGACCAAAACATATAATGTTTCGTCAGCGAGATCTTTCCCCAGACAATATTGCCTTGCTTAGATCGTCTCTTAAGATAGTTACCGACTGTTTTCCTTTAAACACAACCTGTTTATCAAATGACATTTCTGACAGAAGTGTTGATCTGTTTTTGACGTATGCTGTCCTGTGATAACTTTGTTCCTTCAAAATGGCAGAAACGTCTCAGCCGTGAAAAGGAACGTGCATTT